CCCCAAAGTAAGCGAAGAGCACGACCCTCGCGAAGCAAGAAGAAGCAAAAGAAGACAGAAGCTAAGAAGAGAAGAAGAAGCAAGAAGAAAAAGAAAGAAAGAAGAACAGAAAAGAAAGAAAGAAGAAGAGAAGGAATGAAGAAGAATGAGGAAAGAAAGCACATGCTAAGATAGAGCATAGAGATCGAGTCAAGAATCGAAGAAGGTATAGAATGAATGAAGAAGACAAATGAAGAAGAAGAAGAAGAAGCAAGAAGAAGAAGAAAGAAAGAAGAAGAAGAAGAAGAAGAAGACAAAACAAGAAGAAGAAGAAGAAGCAAGAAGAAGAAGAAGAAGAATATAATAATAAATAATAATACATAATAATACATAATAATGAATAATAATAATAATAATTTATAATAATAATAATATAATAATTAGCTAATAAAATCAATAGATTTAATAATATTATAATAATAATAATAATATCAGTAATAATAATACATAATAAAAAATAAGAATAAGAATAGCAATACAGAAGCGAAGAAGAAGAAGAAGAAGAAGAAGAAGAATGTGTATCCCAGAGGAGGTGAAAAAAAGCCAGCCTTTGGAATGATTTTTATACTTCGGGGCTTAGCACCTTCGTCAAGTCCTAAATACCTCTTTGTTAATAGAGTTAGATGACACACAACGTATATAAATTAAACACGCGGATCAACCTCTAGAAGAGAGTAACTTACACTGCCGCCACGATCACATCCCTTGATAGATGCTGCGCGACGGTAATATTGCACGATATTGTGAAGAATAAGGCCATGGAAAGGCTACAGCAAACTTGAATGTTTGAGTCGGCTTCAAATGCGACATGATAGAGATTCGTATTGGAGTGTGGTTTCCTTACATGAGAGGCAGTTCTGATATGACCGTTCTCCCTTGGAATATCATCCTTTATCGAAGCATCAGACCCGAATGTTGAAATGTTGCATGTTGCCCTTGGCTGTTGACTAGATTTCAAATTTCTGTCATGTATGAATGGATGGAAACTCGTAACATGCACCAATAAATTCTTTAACGCCACCCAATACAGCTCTGCGGTTTCGTTCCTAACACTTTTTTCAGAAATAGGCTCAAACTCTCTTCATCTCGATTTCCCAGACTGAAGGGAGGTTTCATTCTCGTGAACTTGAACTGAAAAGGTTTTCCTGCAGTTCACTCGAAGAGTATCCTATTATGAATACGCCGTCAATGTGCCTCTGGGAGAAGACTATTCATGCGCTTAGCTGTCGGCGTCCAAGTGATCAAGGTACACACAGTGGCCAACAGCGGTTCATAGTCAAACAGCCAGTCTGCGATACTGTTCATGAGTAGTTCTTATGGGATCCCGCAGGTTACCCTTTTCCAAAGCAGATACTGCACTTTGCTGTACACACTAACTTCTTGTGCGGAACAACTGCGATTATTTTTACAGCTGTTACAGCAAAGAATCCCCAATGAAATGACAGAAATCCGTCTTTCTCAGGAGGAGTTTGAACCCATCCTCGTCATTGAAGATGCAGTTGCCCCTGTCTTATGATACGTGTGCAGAGAGGTCGAGAGTGTAACCGCACAGGCTTAGACCCCTGGCGCCGCTGCTGACGCAGTCCAACGAGCAGCAGAACACTTTATCACACATTGGATTTCATGGGTTTTTTCTATGCCCCACTCCGTATTCTCTGCATGTTGTCCAACAAATTTTCGAATCGCTCCAGGAGGTCAGGGACCAGCCTTATTTTGCTGTTCTCTCAACCTAGACGGGCTTTACGACGAGGATGTCTCTCTACTTCAAGGTAATTCATTTGCATTACTGATGCATCACGGACATGACGTTCTCTTCGCTGATCATGGACAATACTTCGAGTTGACTGCAGCTAAAGGGCAATTTCTGTGAAGACTGGCAACGAACTGAAATTTTGCAGTGAGCGGCATAAGCCAATGGGATACAGGCAGACAGACCTACAAGGTGTTAATCTCGGCATGAAGTGTTAACTTTAATTTGAAAAGTGTTGAATTTGGTGGTGAAAAAGTGAAAGGGATGGTGAATTTAACCAGCCACCATAGACTTTCTATAAGCCTTAGCATTGTGCACAGTCCTCTTCTTTATAGTTTGTCGAAACTACAGCCAACATATTAAAGCACTTTCCCCGGCTTAGGTTTCCGCTCGATCGCTTTCGTCTGAGCCTGAAAGCCAAAGAAAGCTGAAAATCATTTCAAAGTTCAGAACAGTTCATTATAGAATTAAGGCGTCTGAGGAGGTCTCGTAGCTCGCAGTAACCTTTCTACTCACCTTCTGTGCGGAAGGCTTGTTTGCTTCTCGGCTACAGCTAGACTGAGTCGAAAGGGGTGGATTCAAATGGAGTAGCCGTTTGACCGAAGCCTATGGCGATTGAAACCCCGCAGGTCATCGAACGGGGTGATCAAGCCGAAACGTAAGATTAGTAAAGTTCAATATCTGGGTTGTTAAAGTTGATTTGAGAAGGTTCGGGGCTTGGAATAAAAATGGTAAATAAGAGCTTATATAACGGAATGTAGGGCAGGGCAAGAAACCACGGGTTACTGACAAGCATTCAACCCGTTATTAATTGTTCAGGCTATGGGTCATAGCGTTTACTAATAAAGCTTAGGGAATTTCTGTGGCACCTATGTTAAATTTTTAGCCCACTATCGCACATTCACGTCAAAATAAAAAAGCGTTCAGACTTTTCCGACGTTTACTCGCTAAGAAATTCTGAACAAGTACTTTCGATTGACACTCAACCACGTGAACGCCCCTTCTTCTGTGCAAAGCGCCAACTTTCTGAATGTTCTTTTATGCAGTGTATACTTTCCCATGTCTTTCCCAGTTTCCCATGCCACAAATTCAATTCTTTACTTTTGATCAGCTGGCTTGGATGGCGTGTTTTCCGAGAAAAATGCCGGAAGCCAAATATGCTGCTGGGCACACCTGTATTGCTGTCCGAACGCGACTGCAGGGGCCGTATGCTACACTTTCTTCTGAAGGGAGATATCCCTCAGTAATTCTCATCTCTCCACCATTCCTCAAGTGATATAACTTGCAGAACTGTGCACAATTCTGATCAAAGCAAAATTGGATGTCGATTTCGAGGACTTCTTAATCAGTGTATTATTTCTAAGTGGAGACAGAGAGTGGAATATACAGTAATCTACTGCAGTGAGATTGCTATAGAATGAGTACGGAAGAATTATCTGGAATTGTCTATTTTTCCTGGATTACAACTGAAATGCCGTGGGGAGCAAAAGTAATCAAAATCTGGTTTCTCTTTCATCTTGCTGATGAAGCCATCAATATGTTAGCAGCAAGGTTTCTCACTACATATAGCTGAAATTCGTAGGAGCTCCCAGTGCACAACTCGTTCCTGACTTCATCAACAGCTCAGAAGGCTATTTCATGAGTGAGTGGGTCTCGCCCGCAGAAAATCTCGGAGCCTTGATGCGGGATTGAGCCACTGTCAACTGCAAGACTGCTAAACATGTCGCTTCCCATCGCTAGTGGCACTGCTAGCTATTCAATCGAAATTGCGATGGGAACAGGAACATGTCAGTATCAAGCTGTGTCTGAAGGTAGAACGAACTAGGCTTACTTCATTCCTTTCTGGTCGATCAAAATACCTAGACATGAATTCAAATATTAAACCTTGGTGATGACGTCCGCTCCTCCACGTGGTGCCACTAGGAACTGCTCGCTTTTGCAAGCCAAACTGATCGCGGACATCCGAATGTAGGTGACAGCCTTGGTGACAGTACGAATACCCCATGCCACATCACCAGTTTACCTATGCCATATGAATTTCGAGGTAATGCTACGGCATCCGCGGGAACCGACGCGCACCCGCAAGGCCCGGCGAGTGCGAAAAAAATGCGGGTGCCGGTTGCAGCATCGGTGGGCAACCAGGCTAGCAAAAAAAATGCAACGTGTTGAGGGTTCGTTTTGCGAAGCTGAATGTTAGGACGCTGACTGGACGCTCATAGAGTTAGTAGAAGCAGTAGAGCGTAGAAAGAACGACCTCTGTGCCGTGCAAGAGACGAGATTGGCTGATTGCAAGTCGAAAGAGATAGGCTTTAGCTTTAAAGCCGTCCTCTGCGGCAGGCCCTTGTTACAAACGCTGAGGTAGTACCGTATGAATTATTTGCCACGCATTACCGCCCGCTGATCTGCGCTCTCAAACTTGCAGCTCGCAGACTGAAGTAGACGGAGTGATGCCGCTTTGACAGAATTGAGTGGTGGCGACTGAAGGAATGGAAGGCAGCTGTTATTTCTCGCATTCGATTACTTGAAGTCACAACTGTTGAAGAAAACTGAAAGGAAGCCACTCATCCTATGAACCAGGCAGCCCACTCCGAGCTGGCACAACGAATCCTGGACGGCGGAGGATTGAAAAAGACGCATGGCTCTGGACGGACAATGTTAAAGCAGAGATACGGAAAAAAGAAAAGGCTCTATGACTTGTTTCTCAAAGACAAGTCGGCTGACAACTGACGGCACTATCGGCAAGCGAGGAATGCGACAAAGAAGGCCGTGACCATTGCAAAGGCCTTTCAATTGCAAAGGCCGCTCACTTCGATAATATCAGCAAGAAGCTGGAGACGCGCGACGGTGAGCGTACCTGTGCGGACTTGCCAAACCGCGCCAT